AGTGGATTTCTTTTGTCACGTATAATAATATGTGCTGTAAAATGAAGGGATTAATATTTGCAAGGAAATAATTGTTTCAGTCTTGTATGAAAAGTTCCTTCTGCTCTGTTTTTTTTACCTCTCTGATAAAGGTGCCGGGTGCCCGTAGAGGTTTGCTAGGTATGAGGAACTTCTAGAAAAGTGTTCTTTCGTTTTTATGAGTCATTAAACCTGCACAACTTATTTGATACAAAATTTTTGACCGTGGATGTTTTTAGAGGTAGTCTTTTCTACGACCCGTAGAAAGGACGACTTTGTTTTCGATATTCTAATTTCAAATTTGAATCATTAATATTCGAAATTTAAATAGGTGTACTAGTTAAAATGAAACAAATTACTTTCGAACGTGAAGTTAGTCATCAGTTATATCTGTCCCGAATGGTACAGTTAAAGAATATTCTATTTACAAAAGAGGATCTATTTACAAATCCAAATAATTAGTTGACATAAAGTTGACGATGCTACTACGCAAACAGTTCTGTGGGAAGAATAACAAGAGTCTAACAAAAACATAGGTCGGTGCTATGCAAACGCGTGAAAATAGTTGTGCGCCCAAAATAATATTGGATTTGCTCTCAAAAACCCATTAACTATCTATTTGAATATAGAGTGGACCTCCACAGTGACGTTGGCTGGACATTGACGATGACTGAGCACACAGGTACCATTTAATGCGTCGCTAAACATATTAGTATAACTCAATTTAGGTAATGGCTTTGTGCGCTACCGTTAGGCATTTTGCGGCACAAAGCAGGTCTTTAATTTTATAATATCGATTTTTGTGATATATATTTGTCTATAAGGGGGAGTGTCTTTTTGTATGTATATTTAAATTTGCAACTTACGCGAAAAAGTACGTGATAGGAAAATGTTCAGTGATTTTTTTGGTTGTTACATTTTTAATGTTTCTCATATATTTGCGTCAAAATTGAATAAGAATAAAAACTTGCAAGTGATGGTTTAATTGAAATGTTGACTTTTTATTAAAACCAGCCGTCTCTTTCTATCAAATTGTATCAACGATGTGTTGGAAAGAGAAAGATCAGTGCTTTTGTCCAAACTGTCATAGTATTTCTAAATGATAAACTACATGAGATTATTCGATATTTTAACGTGAAATCGTCACGTCACGTAACGTCACATATACAATAAATATTTAATTCATAGATTCCCGATGAGATAATGATTACGAATGAAACGGTAATTGAACCGAATCAAATCATGTGGGTAATTTTGACACATTATGAACAACAAAATCCACTTTAAATAAAAATATACTGTCACAAGGTACAAGGGCGTGGAAAGGACGAAAAGAACTGGCAAAAACTCTCCACCATTTCCTTTAATTGGCAAGTATTTTGATTCACAAGATGCTTGTACAGAACTGGAACCATTACATCTTACTCCCCATGTAGACGAAATATCACGCAAACAGGAACTTCGGGATATGCCCGTAAGTAGGTAGCGCTCAGTTGCTCTTCACTGAAGTATTTCCGAACCAATTTGACTTATGGGCCTTCAAGAAAAGAGCGTATCAACTCTTTGTGTGACTCTTCCACGGGTGATTATTATCGGTTGCATTGCTTTTGTTATTAAATTATATATGTTTTAAGGAATTTATAATTAAGTTTGTTTTGGAAGAGCTGGGACCCTAGCTAGAGCAAGAACCCTGAGACAGGTATTTTTTTACACAAAAGGATTCCCAAATCTTACACATTGAATTGCATATAATGAATAAACACATTATTATATTTTTTTATTAATTATAACATCAAATAAGCCTTCCACCCATTTGCCCCGTTATAAAATAAGTTGCTATATATATAAAATATGATTTATACACACAAATAGAAGAAAATATTAACATTGATATTATCATTAGGAACAAACAAAACCGCTCATTATTTATACAGTGAGGCTTCTCAAAACAGAAGTTAAGAGCGTCTTGTTTTTACTTGAAATAAAAAAGCGTAGCTCGAGTGTTTGTCAAGAAAATATTTTCACTTTAAAGTGTGTTTTTAAATGAATTAAAGCTGGAAACGAGGTTTTAATACACCAGTGACTGATTTTATTTCTGAATACATTAACGCGTCGAAATGTAAAACAGTTTTGACGCTTTGGAGACATGAATATTTGATTTTTTTTATAATTCGGTGGACGTGTACAGTAATAAGTACAGTAACTCTTTGTTTTTAATTTATGTTATTATTATCAATTACTTAAGATGTCATGTGGAACATGGTTTAATGGTTGCAGCTCCTTACAAACGTTGTGAAAAAAAAAACGGCGATTAAAAAGAGTGGCGGAGAGTTTATTGCCAGTTCTTCTCTTCCGTTCTACGCCCTTGATTTGAGAACTGGCACTAAATGTAAAATTAGAAGCATTAATATTATGTATTTCTTTACTGACAAGTCATAAGTGTACAATGTGTTACCCATATGATTAAATAATCATTTAATTTGAATTTTGAATAAAATATTAAAATATGCTTTACTAATGTGAATTGACAACTGATGATATAGCCTATATACCTTATGTTCAAATTACTCCTCTACTCCTTCATTTAAGAATAAGTTAAAACTCTTAATGTCTTAAGCCTTGTATCTTCCTTGTTTTTTTTTAAAGCTGCTAGTTTAGTGTTAAATTTTGTGCTGTCATGTTTTAATTTGTATTGTAATTTTTATCAGTGAAACTTTTGTCCAACGTGTCTATTTATTTTATGTTTTACATTTATTTTATTTTTTCTGTATAGAGATGTATCTGTTTAGTTTCCTTAATAACTAAATAAATAAATATATTACAATTTAGTCCTACTTACCAAATGATACCGCGATACGTTTATGATTCACACCAATTCACACCAATTCACACCAATTGACCTATTCCCATGTTAAGCTGGTGAAGCTTGTGTTATGGGTACTAGGCAACAGATATACATACATATTATAGATAGATAGACATATAAATACATATTTAAACACCCAAGACCTAAGCACAACACCAAATGCTCATCACATCGATGTTCGTCTCAGCCGGGGATCGAACCCGGGATCCGTGGGGATTCGCAGTCAGGGGTACTAACCACTAGACCAATGAGTCGTCATAAATGATAATGAAAATATATATATATATGTATAATTTGAACTTTGGATTAGTTTTCTATGTAGAAAAACTGTATCAAAACAATTACAATAGCAGTGTTATATGTAATAGTGGTAGTGTTAATCGATTAAACACATATGCTAGAATCAAAATGTCATATATACAAACGATTATTTATTTTGCTTTGTATAAGCGGTTATAACACAAATGATAAAGTATGATTTATGCCGTGTGTAAAACAAAATATTACATTTTAATAGCCGTGTACAGTATAATTACACTTGTGATTAATTGCATCCGCTTTGCAAGCAATAGTCTGATTGAGTTTTAATTGCTTCCATTTTGGTGTTTTAATAGAAAGCTTTGACTTATTCATAATATTATAAGAAAATAACTCCCCGCGTAAATGCGATAAACTCAAGAATGCTATTACTACTATTCGTACTAATGAATCCTTAGAAATGTTTAAGTTTATAATTAACTAGCGGACCCGACAGACGTTGTCCTGTCTTATAGGCCTTAATATCCTATGAATATTGATTTCAAATTGGTATAATTAATTAAAAACTATTTCAGAAACAAGTGTTTATTATTCTAATGCTTTATGTTATACAACATTCTTTGTTTGTTTTTCTGGCTCGCATATTATTATATTATCAATATAATAACACCGATCAAAGCATTTATTTTAAACGATATTCATTTTTCTTACATCCTCTTTGACGATATTTGCTGCACGCTTTCTGTCAAACGCCATAAGGTTACATCAAAAAGTTCGAATTGTATGGTGGTTAAGTATTCTTAAATTTTCTAATTTTCCGCGCAATTTTTTTCTCTTTTTCTTTTATAAGAACCTTCTCCTGACAGTTACAAACACAACAAAAAAAAATCCAGACAAATCGGTCAAGCCGTTTTCATGTTATGTCGTGACAACGGAAAACGGGTTTCATTTATATATATATAGATTATGGACCCCACAGACGTTGTCCTGCATGATATTTCAACCGATTAAGATATTAAACAAAGTATGAAAGTACCGACTGCAGCGCCATCTGTCGGGCTGATTTGTGAATCTAAACCATTCCCAGATCCCCTTGAACACACACAAAAATTTCATCAAAATTGGTCCAGTCGTTTAGGAGGAGTTCAGTCACATACACACGCACAGAAGAAATATATATATAGATTATGGTTTTATATGAAAGTAACGATTATTGTTAAAGAGGTCGCAAAAAGTCCAAAATTCACGGAATTCACGCGGCCGGAAGCAAGTTCGTGTATGTAAACAAGTAAGTTCTAAAGGCCATTTTATCGGTCTAATTATTTTTTAGGGAATTGAATTTTACTCTAAACATATAATAAACCAAGCGCTAGACCATTAAGCCACAAGGGATATATTTTTGTAAAATCGTTTACAATCGTATATGATATACTTTTAAATTAAGATCCGCTAAGGGCCCATGACCTGCCGTCTCATACAAACCTATCAGTGGCGCTACAACCTATTTTAGGTCTGGGGCTCAGATTTCTGTATCGGTTTCATGATTTGTTAATCTAACAGGCAAGTAGATGACCAGCCACCTATGCCTGATGCACGCCGTGGACTTTTTGGGTGTTGGGTCGTATGTATGCCCGGTTTCCTCACGATGTTTTCCTTCACCGTTTGAGCGAATGTTAAATGCGCAAATAGAAAGAAAGTCCATTGGTGCACAGCCGGGGAATCGAACCTTCGTCCTCAAGGATGAGGCGCACACTGGTGAAGCCACTAGGCCAACACTGCTCACAACACCCTTTACTTTGTAATAATCAAGTAACCATTAGCTTTAAAGGCAGAATGATTACGTTTAAATGGTACTTACTTTTTACCGCTCTCCAGAAAACGGTCATATTCCACGGACATTTTGCAGCATAGGTGTTTTCGCTGATGTGACGCCGAGCAATTGGTGTTTACCATGTGGCCGTCTGCAATGATACCAAACAATTATGATCATTATTCCCAAGCCGTAACACCGAGTTTGCTGTGAGGCTAAGGGTGTTTGTGCAAAATTTGATTTAAGAATTTCCCAACCAGTACAACGTTCATACGAAATATCATCGAAACTTTTCGTTTGAAATTGCTTGGTGCACTAACGGGGGATAGTTTGTGGATTAATTCTTGAAAACTGCAGTAATTGATTTTACTTACTTGTTTGGTTTTGGTGTTGACGATTGTCTGTGTCCGTGAAAAACCATATCTGTAAGAGAAACAGATCGTAAGATGAATAAAAATTTTACAAGATTTAGCTATGTTTAAGGAACGACTGTTTTTTGTTTCAATCAAAGGCATTTAAGTATCTTTTAAAACTCTTCTGTATAATCATTTCTTAACCTTATCCTATCCTGATCAATCGTGACTTTATAATTTTAAGTTTTTAGTCTGTTATTAATATTATTTTTTTGTATTACTTTAGATTAAGGTAATATATATATATATATATATATATATATATATATATATATATATATATATATATATAAATATATATAGTATATATATTTTATATAACATTTGGTTCTGCACTTTCGAACGCATCATGTTTCTTTTTTTTTCTCTTTAACTAGGGTTGCCTGGAAGACATCGCTTATTAGCGATAAGGCGCCGTTGCATCCCTTATAATTTTTATGTATTGTGTTTCTTTTTTTTTGCAACGAAGTGTAAATAAATAATAAATAAAAATAAAAACTAGAAAATAATTGTTTGCTGGTATAGGCCGTCGCTGATCTTTATTTGAACCAAATTCCATTTTTAAAAATTAATCATCTCAACTACGACGTAGAATCATTAAATGAGAAACTCATTAGAAAGATTAATACAGTAATGTAACAATGAGTTTTTAAACTATAACTGGGTATTTAAAGATCATGTACATATCGACTGTCGGAGTGTAACGTAGAAATCTTGAGCTTTTTGTAGGTGAATTTGAAACTAAACGATAGATAGCTTAATTAGGTTGACAATGGATGATTCCGAATACTTCGACTTCGACGTCGTATTAACGTTTAGGAATGCTTATATTTATTTGAGTACTACTTCACATATTATACAATTTTCTACAGTGTATGTATACACAGTTACAACGCTGGCGACCCAAAGTGAACTTTGGACTCCGAAACGAGACAATTAAGGTGACAATTTGCAAAAAAAATATTATTTTACAATTACACAAAAGAGCAGACACAAATTTGAAACTTAACTGAGAGTTCGTTTTGAATTTTCTGAGGTATACATTTAATTGTGTTAGTATTCAAGTTAGATATTTATATTTTCTATCAAGTGATATGTGATATGACGACGTACCTTAATATAGTAAATGTAAAATAAGAGGCATTTAATATGTATTTTTCTATTGAAGTTCATAAGTGTACATTGTGTTACCTAATTTGAATTTGAATTCTGTTTTGACAAAGAGTTGTTTAAACATATGTTATGATTTAACATTGTAGAACTGAGTACAACATTGGTTTCTCTATCTAAAATATACGCATCGTTAATAATAATATAGTTTTTGTTTTAATACCGGTATGGTAACCAAAACTATGTTTTTTTTCTGTTCAAGTATTACGTAACGAATTTTGGGGGGGTTGTCTTTTTGCAAAACGTTACGATGCGGGGCGATAATTAGCGTATTTAATTTATTTTCGACTTTCCAGTACTTTACACCGCATAATGGTAACTTTTAGGTAGAAAAAGTCATTACGTGGTCACGAAACGTTTTACTATACTTGGGTACAGAAAAACATTACGGTACGTTACATGCGGGGGGGGGGGATCCAATAATCTCCAAAAATTGCGTGACTTAATACTTGAACGCCCCCTTATTAATAAATATATAATCCTAATAATGTATGGACATTACGTTGAATAGCCACTGATAAGCTCGATAGTATGAATGTTAATTACAGTTTACCATTAATGTTTGAAGTTTCAACAGTCGTCAGAAAAATTTAAATTTTGTATTGTGATACAAAAATAACAATGAAACTACAATACAATGTAATTAATGTACCAAGTTCATTGATAAGAAAACAATCGTGTTTATACAGAATTAACAGCGGTTAAATGGAATAACATTGCCATTACATTAGCATTTGGGGCGGAAAGCCGTGCCTAGATGACGGAATTGTGATACACGGAACATTGTGAACTTTAGTTCTGATAAATTGAATCTACAGAAAATATCTTTTTTTTTAAATAGAACAGGGGGCAAACGGGCAGGAGGCTCACCTGATGTTAAGTGATACCGCCGCCCATGGAGACTCTCAATGCCATAGGGCTCGCGAGTGCGTTGCCGGCCTTTTAAGAATTGGTACGCTCTTTTCTGGAAGGACCCTAAGTCGAAATGGTTCGGAAATACTTCATTGGGCAGCTGGTTCCACAAAGTGGTGGTGCGCGGCAAAATTAATCTTTGTTTTTCATTAAACTCATATTTGGTTTCTGTAGTATGGGAATATGTCTATCAACTAGAACACTGCCAAGAATTAAACCCAGGACCTCTGGATTATACTACAGTATTATATGGAATAGAAGATCTTTAAATAGAAATAATAATATTATATAGTTTTACAATAAAATAAAATAATGTATCTATAGTATTGTCTTTGTCTGTTAATAGTTTGTCTTTGATTAACATAACTTTTATTCATTTAATAAAACACTATTTTGACCGGATTGAAGTTATGTATTATTATAAATTTACAACTATTTAACATAATTTTAAATTTATCCGACGTTTCGCGTGGCTACGCACCGTGACCACGCACGCTGTAAAGCACATGTAAAGCACATGTTAAATAGTTGTAAATTTATAATAATACATAACTTCAATCCGGTCAAAATAGTGTTTTATTAATGTATCTATATTGACCAAAAATTTGGGTATATCTATTTTCTATGCTATAATCTTAAAAATACCTAAAACGGATTTTAAAAATAGAATGTTTTACCTCACACGACAGCAAAAGTGCTTCTAGCTAATCTATCGCAAATATCGGCCACGCCCGGTTACCTCATAGATCACACTTCAACAGAGCTGATAAATCACAAAGGGTCAATTTCGTCATGGAAACGTGAGCCCTTTACCAGGTTGGACCTAAAGAACCAAAGCGAGCTCTAATTAATTTCGTAATTCTAGTTTCGGCATGTAGCCTAAAATTTAAATTTCTTTGAACAAAGAGAATTACTATTTTTACACAGCTGCCTTAAAGCTTTAATCAAGTATAACGTGTCGATTTATAAATACTTTTTCAGATACTAAGAAGTTTCAGTAGAAATTACTTAAACCTTCCAATTACTAACCACTACAGTAAAGGTCGAGATAAGTAAAATGTTTAATAATTTAGTTTCATTTTTACGCGCGCAGTACCTCTGCGTTTTACCTACCTTAAAACAAATCATATTATTATTATCGATGTGTATATTTTAGATAGAAAACCCAATGTTGTACACAGTACTATAATATAAATCATTACATATGCTTAAACAACTCTTTGTCAAAGAATAACTAATAAATAATAATTAAGAATACATCGTCAAGGGACTTCACTTGATAGAAAATAAAATATTTTAACTGCTGCACAATAAGAAATAAAATGTTTTTTTTAAATGTTATGTAGTAAATGTTTAAATTAAGAACATGATTAGGTTTGAGATTTTGAGAAACGTAATATAGTGCAAGTAATAAAAATGTATGTCAACGAGAATTTATAGAATTCTATCACGGACTAGTTTCGCATTAGTACGGATTTAGTTAAGCTTTCTTGAAACGCTGATCATGCAAGAGCGATAAGCTCTTAACAAAACAAAAGCTCCGGTTACGAAAGTTTGTGTCAATAAATGCGTTCTTAGAACCTCGCCTTAAAAATTCAAATGGTCGTGATAAGCTTCAGGAAATGCGATATGCGGAAACAAGATCTGTCAACGAACCGTAATTTATGGCGTGAGGTTAAATATTCTGTGGGCGACGAGAGTAGTTTGTTTTTAGGAAATTTATGCCCAAGATTAGCAGGTTTGTGGGCAAGTTGTATAATGTTTTATAGACGAATAAAGATTAGAAGAAAAGATTAATTAAAATTCTGTAACTCACAGTTAATTAGTATAACCAAAGATTGTGGTATGTACATATAATTTTGTTAGACTATGTGAAAACCATAATATGGATTTTGAATATATTATTCGTAGTTTTTGATCTTTAGAAGATAAAACGAATTTAAATTTATAATTTCGTGGAAACGTTGAATAACTAAAATAGCCCATAAATCAAAGATTCGAGAGGTTGCCACAAAAAGGGCGAAAGCGGGGCAACAATCCGGTCACGTGTCGAGCGCGCGCTGTGCCACGCGCTGCGCCGGCGCACAATGGAAGCTATGTTGCTCCTTCAAGGATTAACGGTCGATTATGCACGCTCCAGATTCAGGAAATGGGTGAAGCACGACTTTGGTTTCCCTATTCAATACCAGTAATACTTAAATAGACCAGAGTTGCAGTAGTAAAATATAGGGGCAGAGTTTGAATACGTTCGGAAATAATTCTGATTTTTATCTTGAATATGTATGTAAGAGAATTACACTATTTTGAATAAGTACATGTCATTTACTTGTAAATAGTTAAATAAGTTGAAATTCATAAACATTAACAAATAATAGTTATAATAATTGTTTAATGGTAATTAAAAACCTAAAAATATAAATATTTGTAATTGATTAGATTATAAACCGTTTGGTTATTCTGATTTATCGTTCCAATTACAAATATTTAATCAGCCTACAAAACTACCTAATAAATAACGCCCGTTACACGAAGAATATCGAGGTAGCTAGCAACCAAATTTGTAATTCAACAAGCGGTCGATAATAAAATAAAACAGTCAGAGTCAAAGTTCATATTCACGTGAGAGTTATTTTATTAAGAAAACGAAAATACGATTAAACAAGCCTCCCACTGGGAGACGAATGTATACAGCGAACATTTTTCCGTAATAACGTTGTTTCTGTCACAGTCGTACATGTCTCGCGTGAATAATGGGTTCATCTTCATATTAAGTCCAAGAAACTTGTTTGTTGGGTTCACGAGCCGGTAAATCGGAGAATCTGCCGCACACGAATCCTTTTGCAGGAATTAAATTGCTTTAAATTAGACGTCTCGGGAAATTACTCTTACTGTATACAGTAGTAGCGATACAGATGTTCTTAAATAGATTGTTGCCATGTGTGTATAATGTAATTTATGAATATGTAGGCAAATAGTACAGTCACGGCCAATGTCTGCTGAGTTCTAGGCTCAAAGCTAATTATACTTATAAAAATTTAAACAAAATAAATAACAGACGTTAAAAGATTTATTAATAGGGGACAAACGGGCAGGAGGTTCAACTGATGTTAAGTGATGCCCGCCCATGGACACTCTCAATGACAGAGTGCTCGCCTCATGTAGACTAGAATTGATAAGCTACTTAATAGTACCTAAAAAAAAATGTTTTTTAAGAATAGGTCTTAAGTCTGTATGTCTTTGACCATAAAAATTAAAAAGAACAATATCTAGTTATATTTTTAAGACACGAAGATTTTATTACCCTTACCCAAATGTTAATATGTAAATCACAAAGTGGTCTAAACAGTAACGTCAATGGGCAGTTTTAGAAATAAATGCTAATTGAGAAATCAAGTTTTAAAGTAATTTTGGCAGATGATACGAGGAATTCGAGAACTTGAGAACAGGTTTATCAACCCTCGGCAGATGGACACGATAAATTGTATAAAATTAAGATGTTTTGCGAAAACCGTTGAGTTTCTTATTTTGTCAGAAGTCAACAAATGTGAAATATAAGTCATAACCGCCATATTAGCTTGGATTGAACTATACATTGATTTAATATTAAATATTTTCAGATCAGAAGTCGTAAATAATTGTAATGTATGATATTAATGTTTTATTTTAATTTTAATATTATTAATATTTGTCCTATAGTTACGTTATGAATTACACTATAATAGAACATCTAAGTAACTACAAGATTTTAAAATAAATAAAAACAAACTTTAGTTTTTGATAACAAACAAAATCTTGTTAAAACAAATATCTAATTAGCACTAATGATATACAAACAAAATCAAATCAGCTGATTTCTGTGTCGAATAATTTGTAACTTTTCTAATTTGAATATGAATAAATTACAGTAAATGAAATTCTATTTCGAACTTACCTGTTGTTTAGCCAACTGGAACCACGTCTTAAGAATAATTGGCAGTCTTGTATACTGATAATGTTTTGTAGTCTTTACACTAATAAATACATCACTTAAAGTTATATTATTATTCAGTTCACTTTCATACAAAGTGGTCTTTGTAACAGGTTCAATAGATAGGACAGCGACTTGCACAGATGCTCGATTGTCTTGAAAATTAAAGTTCACTCCGCTTTGATAAACAAGCAAACTGCTGTAACCCAAAACAATGAGCACAGCCGCAGCCTTAATCAGCCTGCGTCCACCCATGCCAGAGCCGGCAGGCGCCACGCCGATGTCTTCCAGAATGTCTTAGTTCCTTAATCATCTGCACTACATAATCAAAACATTGTTGCTAACGACAACACAACTTATAACCGCCCGTTCTTATCAAAGAACGGTTACAAACTAAATAAAAATGTAGCACGGACAGCGAATACGCCCGCGCTTTGCTGCCCCACCATGTGTTGAACTAAGCACGCACGATTGTTGTATCTCGCTCGCTCTAGTACGGACTACGGCCTACCTGCGCGTGCGCCTGTGCAACGCCGGCAGCGCCACTCGTGTCAATGGCTCAAGTAATTGTTGCTTTCATCGATGGCTGCATCTTTTTACAATTTTATGCATGTCGTAAACCCACTGTTGTGGAAACATAATTCTTGAGTCTTGACTTTCGAAGCTTTTAACGACTACGTATTATCTTACGCAATTAAGGTTAGTATCGACGCGTATTCCTTCGAATTATGGTTACTTTTACTTGAATTATTGAATTGTTACTCACCTAGATTCATAAACTGCGCCTGACTTGGTTACAATTTTATGTTAGGGTAACTAACATGATTCTAAAACGTATAATCTGCTAATATGTATTTATATATATATATATACTTTACATTAAAATAATAACAAAGGCTATCAGATACTACATAAATTTATATTTAAATACATTATATTTTTTATAATATCCTTTCATTATTGCAATAAGAATTTTAAATGAATATTTAATTTAAGTAAAATTTTATTGATATCTAAAGTAACAGGGCTAACGGTAGATTGTGCGATTTAACTGGTCAGTTGGCACAAGTGACCGTGGGTGGTAAATTGTAATGGAATTAAAGCTAGTCATTCCGGCATTAAATTCAAATCAGTGGATATAATAGCGGATAATTGTCGTTAAATTGGCTTTGAGTAATTATGAAACCCACGATTTCTATAACGATTTAAATTTGCTATATCATCAAAGATTTTAGACTAAATCTTTGAAATATTTCTGAATAAATCTAAAGAGGCTAACCTTCCAATGAATCTAGCTTCATTTTACTCAAGCGCAGTTGTAACATTCGCATATTAAAGGTGGTTTTAATTATTATCTGTCTTTTTTTTATTTTTTTTTTATTTATGGCTCTGGCACGATTTGTGCATTAGCCAGCGTCAAGTATAGGACTTTTTATAATTCGTGCTCGTCTTTTAGAAATTCGACAGTGCCCTTTATGTACAGTTTAAGCACTCGCCCGGTACCGCACAACCCTCCCAAAGGCCGAGAACAAATTTAAATTAAATTAAAACTTGCCCTCGAGCCGGGAATCGAACCCGGTACCCCTCACCTAGCTGCCACTTAATAAGACCGCTAGGCTATGAGGCCCCCATTTTATCTGTCTTTGAGATTATATAGAGTTGGCCTAGTGGCTTCAGCGTGCGACTCTCATCCCTGAGGTCGTAGGTTCGATCCCCGGCTGTGCAACAATGGAATTTGTTTATGTGCGCATTTAACATTTGCTCGAACGGTTAAGGAAAACATCGTAAGGAAACCGACATGTCTTACACCCAAAAAGTCGACGGCGTGTGTCAGGCACTGAAGGCTGATCACCTACTTGCCTATGAGATTTAAAAATGATCATGAAACAGATTCAGAAATCTGAGGCCAAAACTTAAAGTGGTTGTAGGACCACTGATTTATTTTATCTATTTGAGATATATATTAATTCAGGTGACTACGATTTAGAGCGTACATATACTTGAAAGGCCGGCAACGCAGACGCGAGCCCTCTGACATTGAGAGTATCCATGGGCGGGGCGGTGTCAGGTTCAGGTTTTATAGCCCTCTGCGCGTTTTCCCTCTGTTCTATAAAATATATATATTACTAGCTGACCTAGCAAACGTCGTTTTGCCATGTATAATAAAAAATAGGGGTTGGTCGTAGAGGGGTGAAATTTAGGGGTTGTATGTATTTGCTGTATCATAAAAAAATAAAATCAAAAAAAATATCTAAAAATTAAAAAATTATAATTTAGGGGTGGACTACCCTTAACATTTAGGGAGATGAAAAATAGAAGTTGTCCGATTCTCAGACATACCCAATATGCATACAAAATTTCATGAGAATCTGTCAAGCCGTTTCGGAGGAGTTTAACTACAAACACCGCGACACGAGAATCTTATATATTAGATTGTTCTTGAAGAAAAGTTCGTTCAAACAACGGGAATTGTTAAAACTGTAATACAAGTTTTTCATAATCTTGAGTTTGGGGTCATGACGAAAACCATGTGTTTGTTTTATTTAAATTATATCGCTTTATTAAGTGCATCCTATTAATTTCAACTACCAAGTATAAACAAAATGGTGCCAAATTAAACATTAAATAGTCTTAAGTAGTCCGCCCACACCGTTTTTTCTGGTAAATCAAGTTTTGGTTGCGTAGGTTTGGATTAAATTGCGGGTGTTACAATATACAATTTCTAGTTTTTTGAAAGTTGAAAAATTACTTTTATTATTGGGTTGTAGTGTTCATTATATCTTAAAGAGTAGGACAAAGGGAGCGTTCAAGTATTACATCACGCAATTTTTGGAGATAATTGACACCCCGTGTAACGCACCGTAACATTTTTCAGTACCCAAGTATGGTAAAACGTTTCGTGACCACCTAGTGACTCTTTATTTCTTGAAGTTACCATTATGTGGTGTAAAGTACTGGAAAGTCGAAAATAATATTAACAATAACACGTAATTAAATCCCCGCCCCGCATCGTAACGTTTTACAAATGGACCCCCCCAAATTCGTTACGCAATACTTTAACGCTCCCAAAATCATATTTAGGTTTATTGACGTTTATCCTTTTTTTAAAGGTTAGATAATTAATATTAATGCATCCAGTTACAAGATTCGTTGATAATTGCGTTCAATTTTCCTGTAATAGTATTTACGTTTAACTCTATATATTAAACCATGACCAAACAATACATTTCATATTTCACTACCTTTCTACATGGATATTTCGCTTATTAGCAGGAAGGTCGCCCGATAACGAAATATACCGGGCGTCCCAAGACTATGGGACATCAAGGGAAAGTACATTTAATGTCGTAGATAGGGTATTTTGCTGAAAGAAGATAATTTTATTTTGAAAATTAAGTATAGTAAAAAAACACCCCTTTTTTGATGCCAATCGAAAGAATGGACAAAAAATAATAATTTTTCTTAAGTAACATAGTATTTTGAATAAAGGATCAACGTGAAATGATTAATCAAATTAAAAACATACATGAAAGTGCCAAAGTCAATAAAGTCGCATTTGAGTCGGTTTGATTGACACGACACAAGTAATTTTGTCAAATCATTGAATGCAGTAATGCAGTATTGAGTGCAATACGTATACTTTTCAAAATAAAATAGTTATCTTTCAGCAAAATACCCTATCTACGATATTTGTAATAATAATTAGTTGCGCTACAACCTCTCTTAGGTCTGGGCCTCAGATTTCTGAATCTGTTTCAAGATCATTTCACAGCCTGACCGTCGACTTTTTGTGTCTAAGACATGTCAGTTTCCTCACGATGTTTTCCTTCACCGTTCGAGCGAATGTTAGATGCGCACATAGAACAAAATTCCATTGGTGCACAGCCGGGGATCGAACCTACGACCTCAGGGATGAGAGTCGCACGCTGAAGCCACTAGACCAACACTGCATCCTTGATGTATAATTATAATTCCCTTATAGGACTAATATATAGGCATTGTTTAAAGTGATCTCATCAATTTAAACCTGTAAAAGCAGGTGAAGGTAATAATAAAATACATACGAGTTTGCATATTGGCTTTTATTGCATTCCGAAATCGCTGGACTTTTAATTATAGTATATCGCGTTGTAAATTGATTTTACATTCCAATAACACAATTTGTTAATTTAAGCATTGATGTTAAAACCATAATATACTCGCAAATCTACATCCGAACTTCAAACATATTCTGTACCATATTAATTATAATTGGTAAGATTTGTACAATTACAGTGCTTCATACTAGGTTTTTTTATATTGGACATATATTACATTTATATTTGAAGACACTTCAATATAGTTGAATTAATCGGTGGAAGTAGATGATAAGCATCACACACATTGGGGACCATCTTGTTATCTGTACTTTTGGGTTTATTACATTATGTTTTCTTCGCTAATACAAATGAATGGTAATTGCGCACATAGAAAAATGAACTATAGCTCAGTTCAGGATATCAGGGAGTAAAAATCACACTATCAGATGAAACATTCACTGAGAATTTATGAAAATCACGCCACCGTCGAACGCTGTAACTGCATTAGAGTCCATCTACCAAAAATCTTCGCAGGCGTTTTCGGCACGGGTGCAATCCACACAGTATGATAATATTATTTTGTTGTTTTGAATACATTTTGTTTACTTTTAGGATGTACTCAGAGCAATGAGAAGTAAATGGTTAGAACCAGTACGCATTCCCACGATTGTGGCTGGCGTGTGCTATCCTCATTAGCTTTGCTTCCGCAGCTTACGATTTGATTGCAGTGAGTGCACTCATATATCTTTTAGAATCGCATTGGTTGGGATTGTTTAAATGTCGTACTCATATTATACCCGATTAATGAACGATGACTCATCAAAGGATGCCGTATTTTTTGCGTATAAGTAATATATATAATATCGTAGGTACTAATCGAAAAGTATGGGTATGGTATCACAATCCTTACGACATATTTCATAAGAGCTGTATATATGTGTAGCGATAGAGCAAAGGCAAACAAAAACAAAATAACTCCTGGAAAAAGATAGTGAGTGTTGCCATAGTTACTGTACGAGTAAAGGTAAAGGCTGTTTTAGTTTTAGGAAATCCCCACGCTTATAAAACTAAGAAAGCCGGAGTGAGGAAAATGTACAGCCTTGGCTCGTACAGTTACCATTATATAGTATATATACTCGTATGTATAAAATAAACGGACATGTATGGTATCAGGTA